AAAAATTGTAAAAAAATGTCACCAACAAATGGATCTCATGGGAATCCGTAAAATTTATGGAAGGAATATGAGGGGTTGGGTAAATAAGATTAACACTGAAAATAGATTTCTGCATATTTCAAAAAGCAAGCAATTGACTTTAGAAGCACTATTTCAAAAAGGTCTGGGGGAAGTGTAATGAATTGTTGAGTATGCAGAAATGATTCATTAAAGAACTGAGTGTATACTATTTATTTGAATAAAAATAAAGTTGATGGAGACATTCTCAGTGTTTTACAGCATTAAAAGGCCTGTGTTACTGCTAATAGAACTTTATTAAAGGAAAAATTGCTGCTTTTACTTTTGTTGCCCTCTCTGCTGCTTCTGCTGCTTCTGTGATTAAACTGAATTCAGCTTCCACCCTCAAAATTCTTGCGATTCTGCAGTGTATTGAAGGACGCTCAGAAGGAAATGAAATGAAAAAATGGAAAAAATGATTATGCAAATGAGGGAGATGGCCCAGAATATTGAATGTTTGAAGATGATATTTTATACAGTATGTATATTCAAAGAAATTTCACTAGATAATCACTAACAAATTGTAGTTTGTAGAAAGGATTGGCAAAATTGAAAGAGAATTTGAAATCATGAAGAAAAATTAAATTGCAGATGATGTTCTGAAGAGTTCTTTAAATGTTGTTTTAGATAGTTTTTATCAAAAGCATAATGTTTGTGATGATATCTTGATTCTTTGCTTTTTTCTTCTGATCAAAGTTTGAAATTGTAATGTAGTCTTATTAAACTTCTAAAACTTTGTAAGATAAAAAGGAGAAAGTGCCACTAAGCTTCAAAAACTCTTTAAGATTTGAAGTGTAAATGTAGATAAGTAAAAACTTCAAAACTCTTTAGAGAAAAAATAAAAGAATTATTAATGTCATATTCTAAAATGTTTCTTCTTAACAAAGAGTCGATTTTGATTTACCTTCTCATATTCTTTGAGAAGATTGTGGGAGTTCAAAAGATTCTCAAAAGGTTTCCAAATGTTCTCAGTATTAAAATATTCTTCCCACTTAACAAGATATTACTTCTTATTGCAGTGTAATCATTTATTCAAAATAGCTTTAACAAAATACTCCATTCTGCCTTCAAGTAGAATATCAGAAGGTTTCTTAAATTCTTCACTCAGTTGCTGATAATAGGATTCTAACAGAATAATATGGAAAACAGAATGCATAGATTCAAAGGTTCTTAGAAGATTTAATTGATATATTTGCAATTTGATGATGTTCAGAATTGTAAATGATTCAAATCATTTATCTTCAAATTTGCAGCATGGTTTAAAAGTTGCTATATTTAGAGAAGATAAAAAACTAAATCTTCAATGATAAAGATTTTATTCTGATGCCTTCTGTTATAGTATTTTGCTTGCTTTTTAAAAGACTTTCAGACAGTAATTTGAAGCTTGCTTTATATTTATTGTAATTTCTCAACTCTTGCTATAGCTAAGGGTTCAAGATCAACAGAAGTTGCAGATTCAGATTCTTTATCAATCATTCTTCTTAGTGAAACAGAATTGTAATCTAGTAATGCTTGGAGCAGTGGCATGTCAATAAATATCTGAGAAACAGAATTGTAGAGAAATCGTGTCTGTGGAAGGAGATCCACTCAGTTATTCTGATGATAATTCAAGTATGTTTGTAAGTAATTCTCTGAGGTTTGGTTCTGGCGTTCTGTTTGCTCATCGGTTTGAGGGTAGAATGTCATACTCAGATTGCGTCTAACTCATAAATAATAACAGAATGTTGATTAGTAGTGACTGGTAAGCAACTTGTTTTTATCAGATATGATAGATAAAGGTGAACTGTAATCACTTAGAATAATATCTATGAACAACTCTGCGAAATCAGAAGCAGTAATTGAAGTCATGCAAGGAAAATATTTAACTAGCTTAGTATAGTGGTTCAGTATGATCAAAAAACTATCATAAGTGATTTCCTTTCAAACTACTGATGGTAATCTGACAATGAAATTCATGGCAAGAGAACTGAATGATCTAGTAGACATAGAAATTTTGACAAATTGTCTATATGACTTATGCCTTTTAACTTTAACATGCTGGCAGATATCACACTCTCTGACATATGTTTCAATGTCTTTTCAGAGCATATTTCAGTAATACTTG